GCAAGTTTCTACCGCAGCTTCAGTGACGACCGCAAGCAGCGTCTACTCGCACCAAATATGTACACTGTCCTCTCCAAGATGGGCCCCACCCGCTGCCGCTCGACGTACATTCTTGATCACATGGAAGCCACGGTCAATTTCCTCATGGAATTCTCATATTATCAATCGCAAGCGCAGCGCGAACGCTACCGCCTGGCCCTCTGTAACGCCATGTTAGCGGCACTCTCGGTAGACGACATTCTCGCATATCTCTGCCAGGGACCATTCGATGACTCGGTCAAGGTCAGGAAGAATATGGGCCGCGCAGATACGGTGGGAATGCTCGCTGCTGCCGCTGCTGTCAATAGTGAACCTGCCCTTCGTTTCCTTGTTGGCAAGGTATACGACGTAGGTCTACGTAGCGAGCTGTACGGCACGCCGCTTACCGCCGCCGCGGTCAATGGGCATCTTTACTCCGCTTCTTTCATTTATGAGCGTATGGAAAAACGCTTCTACAAGCGCAAACAACTGCACAACGCGATCAACGCATGCATGTTCGAGCATAGTACTGCTATACTTCCTACACTCATGTCCTGGTACCTGAAGTATTGCTACTCTGGAAAATTGATCAGGGAAGCAAAGCGGGGCTGGATCGACTGGGCAGTTCGGAATGGTGAAATGGACGTACTACGATTCAGTTACTATCCTGAGGATGCAATCAATTACATACGCCGATTGGAGCCAACGCCCTTCCACTCAGCCTGTCGATACGGCCACGCGCACATCATCCAATACCTGCTCCAAGTCGATCCCACCCTGAAATACGCAATTCGTAATTATGAACAGGGTTACATCGGCTCTAACCAACTATGGGAGGGTCTTACTGTGGCGGTGGAGAATGGCTGGCTTGTGGCTACCAGGCTGCTCGTCCGCAGTGGTGTACAGATCACACAAGGAAAGGAAGGCTGGGTCCCAACTACACCATTGCTGTGGTATGCACTCAAGGGAGGACACATCGATATGGTGGTGCTATTGCTGGCTTATGGTGCTGTGGTGCCGATGAGGAGCCCTGAGCGCAATGGCATTTGGAATATGGCTGCGAATCACAGTGTGAAGACGGCAAGACTGCTTCAGAACATCTGGGATGAGCAAGAAAGATGTAAGTGAAGGTCAAGGTTGATGGTACATACTAGTGGGTGTGCGCGTTCGTCATCCTATAGGCATGCGACTCGCCGTAGCAGCTGCCTCTTGCTATCTAGTCAAAAAGGTGCATGTAGAATACAGCAAAAAGTCTGCTTCAGATAAGCATCATGCCATGATTGATCCTGTGAGCTTGTACTGACATTATCTACCGTAAGATGGCTGCGATGTGTGTAAAGCAGTCACGGCCGCCCATTAGCCCAGCCCGATGCACGCTGTAGATCCACCTGTGGACGCCACGGAAAGGCCCCACATCCCGCGTCGTCACGTCTCTTCCGCGCCGCCGCCACGCGTCACAGCGTACGACGTACCCTCCTGCGTCTAACTTCGCTTCCTGCGCAACTGGCTGTAAAAGCAACAGTGTCACATGATACCTGGATTCTTGTAGCGATCCTACAACTAGCGACATCGTAACCGCGCATTCGTAATCTTCTAGAGAACCACCAACCTCCCTAGCATATCGCAATCAGCATCTTACTTACCCTCACAACTTACCCTACCTAGCCCAGCCCTCTCAAGATGGGTCGCTGGACAGACATGGACAGCGTAAGTTACCTTCTATACCTCATCTCCTGCCAGACCACTAACACAACCCCCAGGACGCCGAGCGCCTCCCCTCCGGCTTCGAGCGCATAGGCTACGACGCCGACACCCAAACCTACACCTTCCGCGACGCATCCGGCCTTATCTACGAATCCGAGCCCGGAAACCGATACGGCGAACTGCGTGCAACGGGCGAGCACTCGCAGCCCCCGTCCGACGAACAACGACGCGAGCAGGATGAGATGATAGAAGAAGGCAATAGGAGCGCTGTGCGTATGATGTTGCCGTTTGCGCTGCTGGTGCTGGTATTTCTGTTCCTGGTTTTTAAGCTTGTGAATAGGAGTGATGGGGCTGATACAGTTGTTGCTGGCTGTGGGGATGGGGAGCGCCAGTTGCGGGTTGAGAAGGGGGATACGTGTTGGGCGATTGCGGAGGCGAATGGGTTGAGTGTTGATGGTTTGCTGGGCTTAAGAGGGAATCAGGGTGTGGATTGTGGGAATCTCGGGATAGGGCAAGGTATCTGTGTTCCGGCGTCGAAGTAAGGGTGGTCCTCTGTCGCTCCTCCAGGCCCACTCTACATGATCATAAAGATGTCCGGAAATGGAAAAGAGCACAGTAAGAGGAGGAGGTGGTCACCGCATTTCATTCAGGTCAAGATGCTGCAGACTTGGTCACTCATCAACTTCCGATGAAGAATTTCTTCTTACCGACGCGGTTAGGCGACCATCTCAATAATCCATTCAGAGGCACCCAAAGTCTTTGGAAGACCACCACGACGATACCAGGAGTAAAAGCAAAGTCTTACTGGCCCTTTCGATGCAGGCACAATGCGACTCAGAGAACATCAATCTCAATGTGTCAGACCAAGCTCACAGCAGCTCACGCGCTATCTCCAAGTCGAATGTAGCGCTACGAGCGGCTTGGAAGTTCTGAGCGGATTTCTCGACTCCGGCTAGATGCAAAAAAGCGCATGATCGTAGCTTCAGGCGTCCTGCGCTGAGAACCGCTTAGCGATTACTGATATGAAGACATCTCTTCTGAATGATATTCATATGCATAGCCCGTATGCTCCACTAAACCGATGCGCCGAGCATTACAGAAGTCAAACTTGATGGAGGTGTTCAAGCCGCGAAACCGGTAAATCAGCGTAAGTCTGCACGTTGGCGACAGCTACGCGACACTCAATGTCCTCCCATCCAGGCAGAAATTGCGCTAATGTAACCTCCAGGGTCCAGAAGTCAATTGGTAGAATGCTACCTGGCCATCAGGTTGGTGCAAAAGTCTGCAGGTCCGCCTCGTGGAGATATAGCCTATACTGGTAAAACCCGGCTCGTTTATTCACATCCTTGCTCTTCAGCCTCTCGTAGCGTCGGTTCTTCCCGCATTAAGCAGGTCTCTCGTGTTTACACATTTAACAGTCGGATATAGCGGGTTGGAAAGGATTCTAGGTGGAGGTTACTCCACCAGGGCGTAATTTGGCCCACAGCTACACCTTGGTGTAATGAACTATCTTACGCCCGATACTTGGCTTAGAAGCATTCATCGGAGGACAAGTCTTTTTCCAATCCTACAGTCCCAGTTCTCTCGTACGCCCACGATTAGTGCAATCCTTCACAAGAGTTGCCCGTACGCGGATTGGCTCATACTTCCCGCAATCTACATCTTCCCGTGTAGGATCACGACCAGGCAGGATTCCAGCCTCGCTCTTGCGACGGTCGATACGCGCGCAATCCGAGTGAAAGACAGGTAAGAACCGCACGTTCCAGTCGAAGTCAGTCACACGGCGTATAAAGCCAGCAGCTTTTCTTCTTTGTTCTATCTCTCTTTATCCTCCTCAAGTCAATAACAACAACAACACCACCACACTCGAATTTGCCTCTCTTCTCATCAAACTCTCCACGATGAAGCTCTCTATTCCTCTCATCGCTTTGGCTTCGGCCACCAGCACCATGGCCGGCTGCTATGGCAGCGGCAAGCCCTACCTCAACGACTGCAACAAGAATTCGTTTCTTGATGCTGCTGACGACCTGTGCAAATCACTAACCCTCGCGGGATATTTCAACTATCGCCAAACGAAGAAAGCATGCGCCCCGGCCAGGTGCAATGGCATCAAGATGAACTACGAGGTGGGATGGAAGGGTAGCAGCGGAGGACATACCTTGGCTGTAGCAGACTGCCAAAGGCGACTCAAAGAAAACATCAACAACTGTCCATTGGGCGGCACTCAGACGGTCGCTGACTGGTTTTTCAAGTAAGTGGCTGTGCACATATGTTACGAACTGTGCGAAGAGGACGAGAGCTAATGCCGTGGGATTGTAGGTCTGACCCTAATGACGGTGGCTGCTGATCGAACCAATTCGGTTGGTTCAACAGTGTCGAAGAAGTTGTGGTTGGGATCTGTGAAGGCGGGCAAGTGAAGGGCGATATACCAGAGACACAGCGTACCGATGTTGGAAAGATGAATAATGAACAAGGATACTTGCCGACTTGACTTCTGTGCTCTGCTGATTTCCTCCCCATACGTTGAGCTTTGAACCGTAGCCTGCCCAGGTTGCGTTCCCGAAGTGATGTTGCAGTCAGAGTGACTAAGGAGCAACTGACGCAGGGTGGCAGGGAAAGCCCAGGTTAGGCGCCCCATTAGCTCAATTTCACAACAGCGCATCGGCCCGCAACCCTTCAAAGATTGCACCCAGGGATGCCAACACACCTGTTGGATACGACTTCAGTTTCTTGGACACAAACCAAGGGTCGAATACATGGCGAGAGCGCACACTACGTAGCCTCCACACGACCCGATGTTCGAGATTATCACGTGCTCAACACCAATCAGGTTAGCTTCGGTCGCGACGGCTCCGCTGCGGGCTTTCCTTCCAAAGTCACATCAACGGACAAATCTCACTCCTCAACGCGCCCAACGCCATCATCATCGCATTCAACTAGAAGCGCGCAGGAGTTCAGACGGCTCTTTGATCATTTCGATTGTAATTCGTCATCTACCCAGGTTACACGTAGTAGGCAAAGGCCTCGTTCCTGGACCCTGCGAATCTGGCCACACCTGGGCACATGTCCATCGTTCTTTCGTTTACCCGCAGCCGACTTCTCCACAGCCATTTTACCCGTATCCACCACTTGAATGTAGGAGTCTCTTCGCTGTATTACCACTGGTAAGCATGGAACGTCAAAGTAATACGAAATAATCGATTCAGGCACGCCATATCCTGAGACTGAACTGCTCTGAGCAAAGAAAAGCGAAACTTACCGAATTTCGAAAGACGAATCTATCTCGGGTCTTGCATACCAACGTTGAGTCCAGGATCGAGATCAGGATCGGCGCCGTGATCTATCAACAACTTGCAGAGATCGAAACGGCATTGTTGAGCAGCGAGGCGCAGAGAAGTCGACAGACCCTTAGCATCGGGACGTAGGCGATCAGAATTTGCGCCGGCCGCCATGACGCGCTCAAGTGCATTCAAGTCTCCTCTCCGTACCGCAGTGTTGATCAAACCGTGGAATTGAGCGCGCTCTGTCCATTCGGATGAGTTCATGTTGCTACGGTCAAACAAACCGGCATCCAACAAGAAGGATACGAGAACACGGAAGAGCTGAGGATCGAAACGAAGGCGTCTGCCATATCCATACACGCTAGAAGACGGTTCGGCTATCGTGAGGAAGCTCCGTCTGAATTCTTTTCGCATACCTGGCGTGGATAGTGCAATCAGCCTACCTAGGAAGCCCATCAATTCAGATGCGCAGGCTTCTTCGAACCAGTCCTTGAGGTAGTTTATCTCCTTGTGCTTGGCATTTGAGATGTACCATTCCAGCAAAACTAGCGCGATGGGCTCATTGTTCCGGACAGCAAGCATAATGCCGCTTACGACCGTCATGGTTTGTACTTTCATGACCTTACTCACAGTCGATCGCTGAGTATGGGATAGTAGGACCTCAACAAGATCGATGTCATCGTTTTGCACGGCCAACTCCAGCGCACAACCCAGCTCAGATCCTGTCGATAACTTTGTCCACATGGCACCCTGTTCGGTAGTGAGTGCGCAGACAGTGTTCCTCTCCCCCATGATGACCGCGACACTCAGAGCCTCTTGACGCCCCGATGACGACATTACCCTGCTCCTGCTCTTGTCACTCGGGTTATAGGCGAGCTTGCAGATATTCGGGGTTTTGATCAGAGCGCCGATGACACCGCGGACCCAAACAGAGCGCTTGTCAGGCGAGGTATCACCGCTGACGTTAACGAGAACGTCGACAATCTTGTTGATATGCGTGGGGAGAACGTGATTGGCGCCGTACAGTGCGACCACTCGGTGCTCGAGGAAGAGTCTGAGTATGTTTCGTAAAAACGCCGACTCGCGCTTACCCAAGTTCCAATAGGCTGAGGCAGGCTGCTTGGCAAGCACTTCTGTTTTGATGTGCTCGCAGAAAGTTCCTGTAGTCGTTAGCAATGCTGTCCGTCATGAGTAGTGACATAATCGATTACGGCACACACTGCGACGAAGCCAGGCTCGTCGGATGCCCTCCGCCTTGACGTAGTGCGCTATGACGCATTCGAAGATTTCGGTTGGAAGATCGAGCAGCTCCATGGCGGGCTACTTCCGGTTGCGAAGTGCAGCAATGGCGAGGGTTATACCGAAAGACTTGTTGACTCGCCAATCTTGTGTGTGGCGAGGTGCAGACCGCAAGCACGAGATATCTGCAGCTGTTGGTCTCTATAGTCTCCGCAATGGTGAGTGATCAAAACACAAAGCGGGGTGTACTTTGACCTGGTCAATGCATTCACCGACGTTGAGGCGCTAGGTAAGATTAAGGTCTAAGATCCTTGTCATGAGTTATAGGCTACGTAGAGACCCTATTATACCAATTCTCACACCGCCGTGCGAATATTACTAGTAAACGCTCATACAACTGGACTTCTCGTAACCCCATCTGTATCATCACATTCTACTCTTTTTCTAACAAGCCGCGAATGTGAAGATCGACCAAACTCAACAATTGTTGTGTGAAGCTGCAGATCAGGTCATTAGTCCGTTCAATATTTCAAGAGAGAGCTTTTGTGAGAGAGCTTACCCTTGGCAAAGAATGCATAAGTGTCCGCGTTGTTGAGGTTATCCGTGGAGTTGAGCGTGATGAAGTTGTCGTATCCATATTTGACATCTCCGACGCTGAACAATGCATGAGAGAGCTCATGCGTCATCGTCTTTGTCTTGTCGCCTTCATGACATTCTGGATGATCAATCTGGTACCACGCATCGAACCAAAACGGGCAGAACCTGACGTGAAGTTCCTCACCAGCCCACACAGTCATCCCCAATACACCCGGTCCACAGCCATCGAGGTTGTTGCAAAAGATCTTGACACGACCCTCATTCATGTTCCGACATTCAGATCCCATTGCGAGAAAGCCGTCGTTGAGCTTCTTGCGAATCTGCTCAGTGTCGTCCTTGAAGAACTCCATGATCCTCGTGTGATTGCCAGCGTCGGAAAGCGAGTTCTGCCAGGCGGAATAGGCGCGATCAGAGCACAGACTGCGACATTGGTCTAGAATGTCGTACTGTTCGTGGGTGCAACCGCCTTGGAGGTTGAATTCCGCATTCCATACGCTCGACAGCCAAGTCTGACGGGTCGCGGCTGCTTGAGATCCGTCGACGTTGACGGTGAGAGTGTTCGAGATGAAGGAGATGGTCTCTACAACCAATGATCCAGCGGTCGCATAGAGGAAGGTGCCTTGCGACACTAAATCGATCATACCGCCAGCCCCAAGATCGTAAACATGGGCGATATCGAAGTGCTTGTCGACTGTCTCTGAGGGTGACAAGGTCTGGAATGAGGAGTCTGCAAGCGCAGTGAGGTCGATGTCAACGTGGATACCGTAGAAAGGGAGCTTGTTGCCTGTACAATGCATTAGTATCTACTCCGCCGTGCATCGGAAGCGACCTACCATCCTTCACGACAGTGACCTTGTTGACGGCCAAGTCGCTTAGAAGACCATCAACTTTGACTAGGCGTAAAGACTCTGATCCGGTGTTCTTGATCGAGATCTTGACATTGGTGTTGCCCGCCATTTCCAAGTTGACTTGGACTTCAGGCGAAGAGGAAGCCGAATCTGATGTACTTGGATGAGCTAGAGCACCAGTAGCCAACGCGAACGCTGCAAATAAGCTAGAGTAGAGGAACTTCATCGCTTCTAGCCGTTCAATCGGTTGAGCTGAAGTATAGGGGAGACGAAGTCTAGGATATGGTAGTATAAGCTATACAGTACAAAGATATGACAGGAAGGATACACAAGGAAGAGGGAGTCAGATGTAGTAAAGGAGGAATACATAGCACAGGGAGGACGATCTCCCAAAGGGGTGGAGCGGGGGAGGATCTCGTGATTGACCCAGGGGCTAACGTCCACCTGACGACTTTGACGTGGACCTTTTATCCTTTACAGATGAGTTTATACCGTTATTTATCCATGAATAATACCTACTATAAGCCAACTGCAACGCCATATGATTTGGTGTGGCTGGCCCGTCTTGTGACTTTACTATGCACTGACCCCTTATCAGCTCCTTCACTATCCTTTCCCAGTAAATACCTTGATCAGCCATCTTCTCCAAACGCACCAAAAGGAGCATAGACTAGTCTTGATCTTTCACGTGATAAGTTCTCGTCCTGCGACTAGCGTAGTATGATCAGCTGAGTACGTAACACTACCATCACGTCAGCAGAACTTGTCGAGTACCTGTATGGACTACAATTATGGTTCGACGGCCCAGGGACACCTAAGTAGTGTGTTTGCTGCATACATGTAGTTCACCTCTTTCATATCACATATCCAAACCGAGCACTTGGTGCATACATCTTCATTATATGTACAGCCTGGTCAAGGTGTTCTGACCACGTATGCTCCAGCCTCAAACTCACAGACTCAACTCCACAGACCACCAATTCTGACCCACCAACACAGAATCCAACATCTCACCCTCCTCGATGCCTCGACGGCCAAGAACCGCCTCTAGCAGAGGGAAAGTCCTCTTCGCAGGGCCACCATGAAAGATCGTGACGAAGAACCGAATCCGCTTGCCCAGTTTCTCTACCTCATCTCTCGCCCAAGCAATGTAGCGCAGTTCTTGAAGTTCTGCAAGATCTCCAATGTCGTAGTACTCGTACTGGATTTCGACCGCCCAGTACGTATACCTGTCCTTCGCCATTCTCTTGATGAACCCGGCGAATTGGAAGCGACTTGGCCAGCGCAATCCATATTGGACTGTAGCCTCTCGACGCATATCTCGGTTTTGACAAAGATTTGCCGATGCGCGTGTATATAGCTTGAGGGCTTTGAACAGCTCCCAACCCAACTGTCTGGTGGTCACCTTCGCCGAGCTTCTGCCTTCTCGCCTCCTTCTCTCATTCTCGACAGGGTACTGAATGACGACCCGCATGAACGAGTTTAATGTGCGTTTTGCAGTTCGGCTGAGTCGCTTCGTTACTTGAAGGTCGACTTCCGCGGGAGTGAGTTCAGCGAATAGAGATTCAGCCTCTCGGCATATTGCTTTGCAGGCGAGCAAGAGGTTCGTAGACGATTGGCGGCGCTCCAGATGTCCTTGTAGATTTATGGAGCCGGGCGTGGAGGTGCTTTGTGCCGATCGGCGTGAAGAGTGTATGAAGCACATGTCAAGTGCGTAGTAGTAGATCCTGTTGCGGATTTCTCCGGGCAACTGGAACAGCGGACTCTGTGTTTGAGCGTACATGACTGAAGTGGTGTCATCGGAGAGCTCCGCCATCTTGAGCGTCGATCTTGATCAGTGTCAGCTTGTGTGCGCGCATTACGAAGAGGTTGGTTTCTATGATCTGCATGTGAGTAAACCATAGCCTGATCGTAAGAGGTTTGTCCTACGTTAGCACAGAATAAATTAGTAAACATCGACTCCCACTCCGCTACAGAACAGTTCCTGGCGTTCGCTGTCGCAAACCAAAATCTGAAACGCTTGATTGAAAAGTACCGCAAATGAAAGAACGCTCGATTCATTAACTCCATGGGGAAAGTAGTACTTACTGGTCTCGTAGCGGTTGTGACTGATCGAAAAAAATGAATACGCAGCACTGGAGATCAGAACAACAAGAGCGTTTGCGACTAGCGCGGTGTTACCAGATGGTTGCCTGGCAAACGGACGGGGACGCGTTGATGACGTCGACAAGACAACGTGGAGAATGAGCGATCAAACAAGGCTACTTAGTCTGAGAAGGAGACCTTGCAAAGAGCGGCGAGTATAATTTGGAGAAGGCGGCTGAGATATGACAGGATGACAATGACAGGGAAACTACGTCCTTACATCGTGTCCTTCTGGCTACGATTACCATCTTGATAGCCAATCACATTGAGCCCGTGGACTGAAGCATTGCCACGAGCATGAAACTCCTGGGTGAACCGCGATCTTGTGACCAGCTGTCGATCACCTGAAGAAGCAACGTTCTCCTGTCGCGGTGAAGGCAGATTACCAGAGCATCGACCCTGCATCACATGTCTTCCCATTGCTCTTTTACTTGCTGCTGCCTCCGTTCTCTTTCCCTACCACAACCTCATTGCCGCGAACCTCTTTTGCAGGCACCAGGGAAAACATGACCGAAAGCATGGAAACTGACTGTTCCGCTAGACATCGAGCTGCATCGCCAGCACTGACGGACATCTCGGAGCTGACCACACTATCAAGATCTCCAAGCCCGGTCCCTGAGTACAACGCCTACGCTTCTCCCAAGCAGTGCCAAGCCATTTCGAGCGCATCAGATGGGCAGGAGCAAGGTGGCTTCGGAGCCCTCGATAGGATCCCCATGGAGTTACGACAAGACGTATACAGCCTCGCGTTCGATATCGATGAGCCTGTCGTAGTCAAGGAGTGCTGCCACCCTGGAACAACCAAGCGGATGCTCGAGCTGTGTCCCAAGCATGGCGCCAAGGCTAAAGCTGGAGCAGGTCGTTTTAACACCCTGCAGGTCTCCAAAGCGATCAGAACGGAGGCGATGTGGGTCGTCTTCGCCAAAACCCCTCTTTTCCTCAATACAGAGGGCAGTATAAGCAAGTACTACACCACCCTCCCCCGCCCGCGTACTCTCCGCAAGGTCATCGGCTACAGGAAGCCTACTACATGCAAGAGCGCAATCTGGAAGACAGCCAACCAGTTCCGTACCATCAAGATCGACCTCTCGGAAGACCTGCTGCAATACGGCAATCCGTACGCCTTTATCGATCGTCTAGTATGTATCGTAACCCTGCTGTGCAAGGAGCAAGACAAGGACCATGTCGCTTCGAAATCGGTACACCTGAACCTCGGCAGCTTCTTCCAGCAAATGCTCCCTTTCAACGAGAAGTCCCAGCTAGATTCGCGGTATGGAGAGTATCTCGACTGGCTGTTCTTCCATTCCGACACCCATGAGCCTGACCATGACAAGCTTGCGAAAGGTATAGTATGCAGCCTGCAGCGACTGGTGGCTACGATCGGCAAGCACTCTGGTCGCGAGCAGTGGAAGATCTTCGTGAAGACTGAGGTTGCGGAGGAGGACGAGGGTGGTGCGAAGGCGCTGTTCGATTTCCAGGTCGCTTGCGCGGAGCAAGGTGTGGAGGTCTGTCATTTGGAGAGCTAAATGCCCAGCTTCAGATAGGGCGGACGATCATGGGTCTGGTACGGCGTCGGCGCGTTCGTGAGGGTTACGGGAGGTTGTATCATGGCAGATCGATTACGGGATTGCAAACGTCAGTATAGCATGAATGAACAAAAGCGTGATCTTCAGTTGCACAATTGAGTCGCATGGGTGCGCTTGGGCAAGACATCGCGAAGCAGTGCTTTGAATCGCGTGGTGTTGACGCGTATTTGGCGTGAGTATGCCCAGGTGCATTCGAGGAGTAATGACGCGACTGCCGGAGATGCCCAACGGACGCTAGTTACGTCATCCATCCGCCATGGATTCACCCATACGGCCCTAGGGGGGTAATCGAAAATCGACATGGGATGGTTTTCTAGTAGCAACAATGAATAGATTATTTTAGTTGCAGTTATTGCGCGTAAAAGCTATTCCTATATATAGTAAATTTGTATAGGAAATGCTAAGAAAATAAGCATATATAAGAATATTTGCTACGCAGAAATACTTATAGCTAAAAATAATTTTCCTAAGAAATAATTGTTAGCGTACGTAGTGTATATTTACTACTTAATTCTAAAGATCTATATTAAAATTACTAGAAAAAGCTAGTAATACAGTCTACTAACTATAAGTAGCTAAACGTTAAGTAGGTAACCGCAAGTAAGCTTTTTAGGCTTTCTTTTTTACTACTATTTTTTAATTATCTCTATTTCTGTTTATTTCCTAGCGAAATTAATTTTTACTTATAGATTATTTTGTTCTTTTTAAATTTTAGGGGCAAAATAATGTTATATACGTTTTGCCTCTAAGATAATTTTAGTATAGAAACGCTTCTAGAATAGTGTAGAAATAATTGCGAAGAACCCCCCAAGATCCGAATAGACCATCAGGGGTAATGACACTAGCGCAATACCGTCCAAGTAGTAATTTCCGAGACACATAGAATTGTAGCTTCAGGAGTCTCAAGCATAGCTACCCTTGAAAGACCACAGCCTGCCTATCCCAAAAGGCTAAGCCTCTCAAACATCTTCACCACAGGCGCCTCCCTCTTCTTCCCAACCTCCTGCAAGCTATCCCAAAGCGTCGCATCCCCACCCGTAGGCTTCATCACCTCGCCCTCAACTCCAATCGGTGCCCCATTGGCAGCCTCAGGGCTTCCAACAGCCGCAGGTGGATACATCTCCTTGATAGCATCTTGACACCGTTCCATAACCTCGTTAACAGCGTTGGACACGGCGTCAGCACGCTCTCTCATACCCCGCCTAACCAGACCCTCAACAAGACGTTGAATCTCTTCTTGCATGCTGTTGATGCGCTCGATGAGGCGTTCGATGGAGTTGGTGAGATACTCTTCTTCGTATACTGTGCCCTTTTTACCGCGCGCACGCTTCCTCTCTTCTCTCCGCTTGTTCTTGCTTGTCTTGCGCGTCGTTGTTGTGTTGACCGTGCCAGTCTGGTTTGTGTACCTGGTCATGAATGTGCCACCACTCGTTGTATCTGTGGGCGCCAAAGAGATATTGTCGGGGATATTGGCATCGGCAGGACCGTCGATCATACCCTCGTAGAAGGCCAGCGGATCCTCTGCTTTCTTGGCCCTAAGTTCCTTGAGTCGAGGTACTTGTGCTTGCAGTTGACCCTTCATGTCGGCGAGGAATTCTGTCATGTCTGCGCTGCGCTCAACGAGGCCGGGGTCGATGATTTCGGTGATGAGAGAGGGCTCGCGGCGGAGTGTGACGATGCGAATTGCTTCGGCGAAGTGGCAGCCTCGGCATAAGAGACGTGCCGCGGACGCAAGGTCGGAGAGGTAGTCGAGTGTTATTGATGAAGCTGACAGGTAGTCTTTGGATTCTGTGAGACCTTCTGCAAGATCTGTCGCAATGCTTGAGAGTTCATCCGCTCTTACATCGGCGAGAATGGCCGACGACAAAGCCTCACGCCAGAGGTTGGCTGAACGGTAGCATGGCCAAGCTGAGGCATGGTCGTTGAGGTATTCGTACGCCAATGCAGCTTCTTTGTTCTTGTTGTTGGCACTCAGGAAGTCTGCGTACAACCTCATGATTTCCTTCAGACGGGTGCTGTCGTATTGGTACATGCTCAAGGCTTCAGGGTAGAGATCGTGCTTTTGCACATAGTCTTGTACCTCATCGTAGGCTTGAAGATCTTTGAGATGCGTGAGCGCTTTCGCTCTTCGTCCGAGCTGGTCGTCGATCTTGAACTTGCGACGAGTTTCGGGCAGATCTTGCAGAGACTGCAGGTGTGGCAGATACTCTCGCGGATCCTATTGAGGGTCAGCTACTAATGCGACCCATGCATTCGATCAGCATACCTTTTGTGACTGTTGAGCGATGAGCAGGGCGAGGTCAAGGTTGTACAGTCCCAAAGATGTGTCGTATAGTTGGTTGACGTCTGCAAGGAAGCATATGTGTTCGGCGGCCTTATCAGTGAGGGAATCGCTAGATGCTGTGACATGTTAGAACTGCGGAAAACGCAAATGTATAAGACTCACCTTGTAGGCGACCTATCATAGCAAGACCTGTTTCTAGAGCTGGTGGTGTCTTGGAGACATGGGCTGTGATGATGTTTTGCAGGTGCGCGTCCTTATACTGAGACTTCTCTAATACGGCCAGGAAAGCGTCGCATATCCGGTTTACTTTGTTCTCAACTTGGTCTTGGGAGAGCTTTGGCTTCGTAGCCAGATCTTTCGTCTTCAATGTTTCCTTATACATGGTCTCCGACACGTCCTCGTTACTTAAACAGTTAGCAACCATCTCCTAAGATATGTGGTTAATCGCTTACCGGAGCTGCGCCAGGAGCAAGTCAATGTGTTCGATCTTCTTGATCTGTGAAATGATCTTTTCCAGGCTCGCCATGAACCGCTCCGGGTCGTGGTCATGAAGTATGTTCAGATCAACTCGCTGATTACGACAAGCAAAGAAGGCTTCATCGTAACGCTCTGCCTCGATGTGGCGACGGATAGCAGCAAGCACAAGCGCTCGCGGATAGATCGTCTCAAGATTACCTCTTGGCATCTGCAACACGACTGAGTATGTCGTTGGCATCACCGTCACGATCTTAGCTCCTCTCTCGATGCTTCTGCATCTCTCATCCTTTTGGGGTTCATCCGCGGGTACTTCGAGCTCTGGGTAATGTCAGAACATGCTCCCTGTTCTCATACCATAAGGCGGACTTACCATCTGCACTAGCGAGATGCACGAACTTGAGTAGATGTTGTGTCGTTGTGAAAATAAGATGCGCAGTAGTAACCACGAAAGAAGTGCAGTTGCGGACCAGAATGCGCTCATTGGCGTATAGCACTCCACTCTTTGTCAATCCAAATGCCAATGTCTGGCCGTGTTAGCCAGCTGATGCGACCTCGCGGAGAGTGTGTTTGCGTACCTGGCCTTCAACATTGATCACTTGAACCTCGGGCGCAAACGAAGGAAACTTATGCACAAAAGGCGTTAGGGGAGCACAATCCGATCTCAGCTCATCTACAACGACCTGATGTAAGGCACCATTCTGAAACTCGATGTACGGCGTTTCTTGATGAACGTTGGAAAGAAGTATGGACGCGTTCTCGGTCTCCATTATGTGTCCTTGAGGTAGTAACACATCGCCTTCGGACTGCCAGAGCGAGCTTTCCTCTTCGTCCCAGCTGTCTGATAGTACGAAGATCTGATCCTCACCAAAGAACGTGACGTGACGTGGTGAGCCATGACTTATCGCATCACTGCGCCAGATGAGACTAGGCTTGGGTATAGGCCGCTTGTTGAGATCGAGAGCGTATACGGCAAGGTCGACGTCGGAGAGCACTGCCAAGCGATTGCCAGATTTTGAAAGCGCTACGTCCATGGGTTTTGAGTCGAGAGCCAGAGTGTGAAGTGACATGGGAGGTGGCACATTCGCGATGCGAAGTGGTGTGAGTTTCAGGGATACTTGCAGTAATCAGTATCAGACAAATCACGCACATAGAGTGCATCACTCACATCCATCTATTGATGCGACCATGCCAAAATCGTTCGGCGGGGCGACTGAGCCAGCCGAGATTGTGGACGCGTACTCAAGCACTTGAAGCGCATCTGGACTGTACTTAGTCATATTAACCTCGTGTTGACGAGGGCCAACTTACCTGGAGTTGACAAAGCTACCACAAGCGGACGCTCAGCATGCCAGCTACATATGACTGTTCGAGGAGCGGCGTCCGGAAATCGAAGTTCTTGCTTGAGATAGTAGTGGTAGTTACTCATTGTCCAAAGTTGTACTTTGTCAGGATATGACACAGCTAAGACGTTGGAGTCGCTATTCCACTTGAGTGTTAACGGAATCGAGAGGGCTGCAAGCTCTTCCGGTGTAAATCGAAGATCGAACTGGCCGTGGCGAAGACCATTGCGCTCGAAGAATACCACTTCAATCTTATCTTTGGTGCGACGGGTACTCGCAATCAGATTACCCGATGGTCGCCAACTGAGAGCTCCTTCAAGGCCGTCCACGGGCTCGCTCACACTGTCCAGCTGTCCTTCCCGGGAGTAGACACGGATCATGCGACGGCGTTCTTCCTCGACCTTGCTTACTGCAAACCATGCGCCGTCACCTCTCCAGCTTATCGTGACAGAGCGATCGTCGAATGGGCTCAGTACACCCTCGTCGATACTTTCTGGCACTGTTGGATCTTGCAGTGCTCTGGCTCGTTTGCCCTTGAACTGTGTCTCTTTCTTTCCCCACCCCACAGAGACATGACTGGAGACGTTGACATCTTCGGGAGTGAGATTGATACTCGCAATGTTTTCGATATCGCGGCTCATCAATAGTAAAGTGTCCGCCTGTGTGGTGATGGCGAGAAGTTCTTCATCTGGTGACCACGCCGCAGCAGAGATACCGGCATCGACTGAGCCCACGATCTCAACTAGCTCTTCTGTAGATGATGGGTCCTCTCGCACGAGCACGATGTCTCCTCCGGCCAAAATTAAACATGATGTCGAAGTGTCGGCGAAATGGTGCAGGCTCAAGATTGAGTCATGGGTAAGCGAGGGCAGCGGGCACGGCGCATCCCACGATGCGATGCTTTCAAGCTTTTCCTCGACGCCGTTGCGAGTATGATGCAGTCTCTTGAGTTCGATAGTCGCACGTGATTCCGAAGGGCCGAAGGCGCATACCAGCGCATTTGATGCGGCGTCCCATGCAGTCGCCGTTAACGGTAGTGGCTCGTCTCCGGAAAATCGCAGGAGCGACCTGCCTACTATCTTTAGATTTCGCATTGCCGAAGGATCATGGACTGTGTTCGTGGCAATGTTGCGTCCTGTTGCTCGAATGACTGGTCACTAGCCCCGTTGGCAGAATCGCGCTTCCGAATTTTTGGTGATGCTAGCGCCGAGCTTCTACCGAAGGGTAACGCAACGCATCTCATCGTCATCAAGGTGTTGCAATTGAACCACGTTCGCTCACCGTCCATCCCCTGGTTCGCATTTGCTCAGAAAATGCTACTTCTCAATAGTGCTGGTTCATGGTAGAGGAGAATTGCAGAACCTCGTTTCGAAGTTAAAGAGACGGCTCTTGCCCACCGAGGTATCCAACAAGTATCATTAGGACTTGTAATCTGCATGCATTGGATCATGATGGAAGACAGACAATGAAATTGATGCTGTGGTGTCTATACGGGTCTCCGAGCGACCCTCCGATATTCTACAAATCCCGTGTCCTTCCCATAGTCCAGTATCGTGCCCACGCTCCGAATGACTGCATCTATTTGTTCTTCTTCGTCTGCCAGACTGTTGTAGAGATTCTGTTAGATAAGTTCTCATAGTAGATATCAGCGAGTCGGGCGCCTCACCAGCAAGGAGGAATGGCAGGGAGAATCCGGTGGCTGCGAATGTTAGCACAACCCAGTGATTGCGACGCGCCAGTGCGTACCCATAAATCCCCAGTACTTGAAGGCAAAGCCCTTCTTCAGCGGATCAAATGGCAAGTTGCTGCGCGGGCCCTCGGGGTAGTGGTATGGGCTGGCGAACTGGGCGCGGGTGGATTGGAAGCCGCGGCGGGCGACGAGAGTTGGGGCCGAGGCGGCGCGGAAGGTAGCACGGGCAAGCATCTTCGGAGGTCAGCTGGGGTTGCAATTGACGTGGAGTTGGGGCGTACTTTGTCTGTGGTGTAGAGTGGAGAGGTTGCGGAGTTCTGGTCGCGGTGGTTCGATGAGTTGCAGCTTCCACGGCTGCCATGTCTTGGCAACGACCCGCTTAGTAAGGCCCATCAAAGTTTCTCGATCTCAGTTGCGCTCGCCTTCGATAATCTTTCGCGACAGGTCAAAACTGCCTGTCTGGTCCACCACGCAACCCCCCGAGACAAACGCACTCAACCGCGCACGGAGTGAAACCAACCACCCACCATGGACGACGACATGTTCGACGTCTTCGAGGGCGGCCCATCCACGGACACCGCGCCCCGGAAGAACAAGAAGCGCCAGGCGAATGGCACCGTCAAGTCGCCTGAACCCGTCGCTGACACTGCTATGGCGGATGCGTCTGCAGAGCCAGCTGGGACCGCGAACGACAACAGTAGCGCGCAGGCTCTGAAGAAGAAGCAGAAGCGCGACGAGCCCGAGCCTATAGTTACCGACGATTTCGAGACAGAACAGACGCGCGAAATGGCTGCCGCAGCGGGTCTTCAAGCGCAGTCGCAAGAGGGTCAGGCAGTGGTGCTTTCGCATCAGGTCCGCCATCAAGTCGCGCTCCCTCCGGACTACGACTACGTCCCCATCTCTGAGCACAAGGCCCCCGCAGAGCCCGCGCGCGAGTGGCCTTTTACCCTAGATCCCTTCCAGCAGGTCTCCATCGCCTCGATACAGCGAAACGAAAGCGTTCTGGTGTCAGCGCATACCTCTGCCGGAAAGACAGTTGTGGCAGAATACGCCATCGCGCAATGTCTCAAGAACAACCAGCGAGTCATCTACACCAGTCCTATCAAGGCGCTTAGCAACCAGAAGTACCGAGAGTTCATGGCAGAGTTTGGCGACGTCGGTCTGATGACTGGTGATGTCACCATCAACCCCACTGCAACCTGTTTGGTCATGACGACGGAGGTATGTACGCAACGCTTTGGGGGAGGATGAAGACTAACATATCCAGATTCTGCGCTCTATGTTGTACAGGGGTTCCGAGATTATGCGCGAAGTAGCTTGGGTCGTATTCGACGAAGTTCACTACCTGCGCGACAAGTCAAGAGGTGTCGTCTGGGAAGAGACTATCATTCTTCTGCCAGACAAGGTCCGCTACGTCTTCCTCTCCGCCACCATTCCCAACGCCATGCAGTTCGCCGAGTGGATCACCAAAACTCATAGCCAGCCGTGTCACGTTGTTTACACCGATTTCCGTCCGACGCCGCTACAACACTATTTCTTCCCCGCTGGTGCCGACGGTATACATTTGGTGGTTGATGAAAAGGGTGTGTTCCGCGAAGAGAACTTCCAGAAAGCCATGTCTTCCATCGCGGACAAGGGCGGAAGCGAGGCCAAGGACTTCATGGCGAAGCGTAAAGGCAAGGGCAAGGACAAGAAGACCAACACGGGCGGCAACAAGGACCAGACGGATATCTACAAGATTGTCAAGATGATCATGGTCAAGAGCTACAACCCGGTCATCGTCTTCAGTTTTAGCAAGAGGGAATGCGAGAACTACGCGCTTTCTATGAGCTCGCTCGCGTTCAACGACGATTCCGAAAAGGCCATGGTGACCAAGGTCTTCAACAGCGCCATCGAGATGTTGTCAGAGGAGGACCGACAACTACCCCAGATTCAGCACATTCTCCCCCTTCTCCGGAGAGGCATTGGTGTTCATCACTCCGGTCTTCTGCCTATCTTGAAGGAGACCATCGAAATCTTGTTCCAGGAAGGACTGATCAAGGTTCTCTTCGCGACCGAAACCTTCTCTATCGGATTGAACATGCCGGCCAAGACAGTCGTTTTTACCAGTGTGCGCAAGTTTGACGGAGTATCGCAGCGATGGGTCACGCCTTCTGAGTTCATCCAAATGTCTGGCCGAGCTGGGCGTCGTGGTCTCGATGACCGTGGTATTGTCATCATGATGATTGGCGAGCAGATGGAGCCTGCTGTGGCTAAGGAGATTGTCCGCGGTCAACAGGATAACCTCAACTCAGCTTTCCATTTGGGATACAACATGATTCTCAACCTCATGCGAGTGGAAGGCATTTCCCCCGAGTTCATGCTGGAGAGGTGTTTCTTCCAGTTCCAGAGCACGGCAGGTGTCTCCAACCTGGAGAAGCAACTTGAGAAGCTTGAAGAAGAAAAGGCAAACACCAACATTGTTGACGAGCCGGCTATCAAGGACTACTACAATCTGCGACAGCAACTGGACAACCACACTAAGGACATGCGTGACGTGATCATGCAGCCGAACTACTGCTTGCAGTTCTTGCAGGGTGGCCGAATGGTCAAGATCAAGTTCAAGGACTATGATTTCGGCTGGGGTGCTGTTGTAGCGTACACGGCTCGCAAGGCTAATAAGGGCGAAGTTCTGCCACCTGAAGAATCCTACATTGTCGACGTTCTACTACCGGTCAGCAGCGACACTAAGTTTGTACCAGCGGTGAACGACGGCCTACCGCCTGGTGTGCGCCCACCTGCGGCGGGAGACAAGGGCAAGATGGAGGTTGTCCCTGTGGTTCTGAACTGCATCGAATCTATTGGTCATCTCCGTGTCTTCCTCCCCAACGAGCTTAAGTCGACAGAGCAACGGAACAATGTTCGCAAAGCACTGAGCGAGGTCAAGAAGCGCTTCCCTGACGGAATTGCTATCTTGGACCCAATCGAGAACATGGGCATTAAAGACGACAGCTTCAAGAGGCTGCTAAGGGTAAGTTTCACGATCAAGAATCTGCATTGTTGTCTAATATTGTGCAGAAAATCGAAGTACTGGAGTCCCGTCTTCTCTCGAACCCTCTCCACAACTCGCCTAGGCTACCCGAATTGTACAGCCAATATGCGCAGAAGATTGCGATTGGTGAGAAGATCAAGAACATCAGGAAAGAGATTGCGAACGCTTTATCGGTCATTCAGTTAGACGAGTTGAAGAGCAGGAAACGTGTGTTGCGACGCCTCGGCTTCATCGACGAAGCCGATGTCGTGCAGCTAAAGGCCCGTGTCGCTTGCGAAATCAGCACTGGTGACGAGCTCGTGCTTAGCGAGCTGCTCTTCAACCGTTTCTTTAATGAGTTGACGCCAGAGCAGTGCGTCGCTTGTCTTAGCTGTTTCATCTTCGAGGAGAAGACGCAAGAAGTGCCAGCGCTCAAAGAAGAGCTTGCCAAGCCATACCGCGAAATCCAACAGCAAGCTAGGGTTATCGCGAAGATGTCACAAGAGAGCAAGCTGACAGTCAACGAGGAGGAGTACCTCAAGTCGTTCAAATACGAGCTGATGGAGGTCGTCTTCGCCTGGTCGAAGGGTGCGACGTTTGCACAAATTTGGTATGTTCGCTTTGCTACCGTCGCATTAAACGGCAACTAACTTCGAGCAGCAAAATGACCGATGTGTACGAGGGAAGTCTGATTCGTCTGTTCAGACGATTAGAAGAGTTGCTCCGACAAATGGCCCAGGCCTCCAAGGTCATGGGAAGCGAAGAGCTTGAGCAAAAGTTCACTGCAGCACTTGAGCTCGTCCGCAGGGATTTGGTCGCCGCCCAGTCCCTGTACCTGTAATGCGTGAAGCATGTCTTGTATATTATGGTATTGGTGGGAGTATTTGGTAGCATCATCGTTCAGCAGGTAAGTATGGCACTCACAGGGCGTTCTCCTTTATGCGGTTGAATGAAAACGCCACCGGACATGCCATTGTCTCAGGCGCACGCAAGGAGCTATCGACGCTGTGCACCTCAAGAAGGGGCACAGCGTTAATGCGTCCTGAATAGAAATTCACTAGATCTGATGTTGTGGGCTTGCACCATGGCTGAGGATCCCCCACGTACATTTTTCCAGACATGCATGGTGATATGTGATGCGATATAGATAGTGCCGCCTTAGCCGCTGCGGTTTCTTTTGTGATGAGGGACCACCTGAAGGCAGGGCATGAAGGGGCGATTTTTATGGAAAAAGCAAAAGTGGCGAGAGAACCCACCCTCAACCCCAGATGAAAGGGCAATTATCGTGGTTGACATCGGTGACATGTGACGTGATTGGTTGGGTGCACGGACTTGCCGGTTGTTAGCATATTCTTGGGCCTTCGTATGGCTCTGCTGTCTCCACCACAGCAACAACACAACACCCGACACCGCCCACGGCCCACGCAACGAGAGCCCGCCCATTGCATCACCACCCAGACATCGCTATCCGGCTCCCAACAAAGCAGGCGTGCGAAATCACTGCGTTTGCGGGCCCTTTCTCGTCATGAGTGTGCAGTACCAGCAGACATTCACGCCCCCTCATCTCTTGAACAACAACCGCCGCTCTCCCTCCCGCAACCGTACGTCCACTCGCTGCTCGCAACACCTCAACTCCATGTCAGCCACTAACTTTCACCCTCACGCAGCCTACGCCCCTTCCGCCGCCATGACTGGCCGCAAGCGGAAAGCCGAGGACGATGGCAGCGCCGGCGACGACGACCGCATGAGTGCATCGCCCACCACATCCTCCGCCGTACTCCCACGACCCGCGCCACGAGGCATGAAGCGCATGCGAACCAACATCTCCGGCCGCCCACTCCCGCTCCCTCGCCTCCTCGAGACGCTCAGCCCCGACGAGATGCGCAACCTGCTGCAGTCCATCTGCCAGCGCCACCCGGACATCGGCAACGAAGTCGTCACAACCGCGCCCCGGCCAAGCATACAGTCAACGCTGGAAGTCCTGTCAAAGTACGAGGCCGCGTTCCAGGCAGCCTTCCCCTTTGGCGGCCGTGCGTCATCAGACTATGCATACAATAGGGTGCGGCAACAACTCGATGAACTGCTCGACTCCCTCAAAGACTTCACACCTCACTTCCTCCCGCCGCACGAACATCAGCCCGCCACATCGCTCGCCTTCCTCGACGGCGCCACCGAGATCATCCATCGGCTACCCAACTGGGATACGTACCAACACAACCGTCACAAGCAAGAGGCGTACGAGGAGATGGCCAAGGCGTGGGCGATGGTCATCCAGGAGGCAGCAAAGAAGGCGGGTGGAATACAGCTCCAATACGGCGGATGGGACGAGAAGATTGCGAAACACAATGAGATCTCGGGCGGAAAGATGCAGGAGGCAGTCAACGAGTTGCGTGGAGGACTCGGCTGGATGGGCGCAGAGACCCCCAATCCCGCCGCCGGCGGGTCCAATGATGCCATGTCCATCCGCCAGCAGCTGCTGAGCGGAAACTACGGAACTGGCTCTCCCGCAAGCATAGGCGCATGGTAGATCGACACAGCAACGCCCTTTGAACATCGACCGTCATCACCATTTCGCCACACCACAGTCCCCATTCATCACAGCATTACTACCATGGTGATCTTCCAACAATTACGGCCTAATCCATACCCGCGAATGATATCATTGCATGGAGGCATATTCCCATGATAACGACTGCATAGCGTTTCCTTTCAGTCTTTATTCACGTACAACAACAGCATATGGCAGGGCGGTTCCATCATTGCATTGGCGTACCGGTTGCGACATCCACCACAAAGAAGACCCCAAACCTCTGATCTTTTGTGCATTCCTGTTCTCGCCTGTTTTGGGGGCGTAATGTTTTGTCATTATTACAAGTCATGTACCCGATTTAGGGGTTACTGTGCGGCGACGGATTGCACTCTTTCCTTTCACTTTGTTACTTGGGGCAGGGAGGAATGATACCATGCTCGGTACTGAGAGAGCGGATGGGAATGGATGGATGGTATATAGGTGGGTGGAAAGCTGGACTGGACTGGAGTATGGAGATGAATAGACTTTTTTGTGTATATACTGACTGTTTCCCTGATGCAATCTTCGCGTTACTTGGATGTTGCTGATTATGGTGTATCGGGATGCTCTTTCCACCTGAAAGCATTGTTTGGCACTTTCACGTGGCAACGCGCGCTAGCGCTGCGCCCTCTCATCCACGGCGGTAATCACGACTTTTTCCTGAGGCCGCACCTCCACTTTCAGCTCGCTACGCTCGTTACGGCTCACCCTCACTTTTACTTTACAATTAACTCGCGGCCACGACCGCCGCTCAACGTCTCTTTGTACCTCCAGCATCCACCGCTCGTATCGCTTGTGCCGCATCCGCCACGCCGTCACGTCGAGATGGCTATCGCCAAGGGACTTCCCAACCTCAAAGTCCAAGTGTACGCCAAGGGCATCCCGCTTCAGGAGTACGTCGATGACGATGATCAAGCATCTCATGGCGAGGTCACCAAGTATGTCGAAGCCTCGTCCGGTGACAATTTCGAGATCAGATACTGCTTCACTCCTGGATTCAGCATTCGTCACAGCATCCTCCTGGAACTGGAGATTGACGGGGAATATGCGGATGGCGGTGTCTACTCCCCCGGCTGTCCTGTGCGTTGGTACCAAGTGTACGGCTTCACAGGTTCGCGAGAATTCGACGGTGGCAACCACTTCTTGAGGAAGTTCCGTTTCTCGCAACTCGAAATCAGTAAGCCATACTTTCTCCATCTATCTGTTCGACCAGTTTCTTACTTCTACAGATGACGGTGATCCACGTACGTTTGAAGACACTCTGGAGAAAAAGCTTTGCAAAGTGGGTGTCATATCTGTGCGCTTCTTCTGGGTAACGGCCAGCGTGGTATCAGCACCAACTACCAGACTGCTCAAGACCGAGACTCTCAGTGTTGTCCCAGAGAAAGCCCTGAAGGGCAGCGCGTTATCACACCAGGCTGGGTCAGCAATCTTCTGTATCGATACTTACACATGCTTACCTTTTTACTAGCTATGGTCCGCGAGAAGCTGATATCGCGCATAAACAGTGTGCGGCCACCAAGTTGTATCAGAGCCCTTTCGCTGAGTTCACGTTCAAGTATCGCTCGAGAGGTGCGTACGTCTTTCGTGCTCGTCAGATAGTCACTAACATCGAACCATCTAGATGCTCTGAAATCCCTCTTGATCATCCCACGAACCCCTAGTCCGGTACCCCTCGAAGAACGCGACGTCAACAGTCTTACCTTGGAGGAATCCCGCGAACTCATTCGAATCCAGCGTGCACGAGGCGATGCCACTGCAGTCATCAAGCAAGAAGGTATCAAACGAGAACGAAGCAGCACCATTACCGGAGGGGGTCAAGACGAGGACGATGTCTCTTTCGTATCCGCCAAGCGTAGACGGCTTCCGGTCACTCTCAACGAGAACGGCGTCGAGATCATCGATCTGACATAGAGGAAGGTCTTGCCTATGCTATGGTCGTGGTACAGTTTGGCTCGTATTCGGGTTGTAAAAGATCCTCTAGCCATATGCGGCGCTGTTCTGGTGGCTGGCGTACACACAAGGCGTTTCCGATTTACTCCAGCGCTAGATATCGTGGTGTAATCTCATCGTAGTCACCTTGAGCATTAGCAAGAGTTAGTTCAATGTCCCTCATTTCAGCATCTTTTTCGTTTGCTTTGTGCGCCTTTCGCTCGGGTTATCTCTCTCACCTGAGCAGCTGCGAGCCTCAAGTGAGTGCGCTCCTTGTAGCTTGCTTCTTTATCCTTGACGCAGAAACATACTTTCCTCAGTCGCTCGCGGTCTTCCTCTTCCCTTTGCAATCGAACGTCATGGCCATCGCAACGGGTATCCCAGGTTTTGAAGTCACTATCGAGGTGGACACGGTAGCATTACCGGAGTACCAACACGGAGTCATCGAAGATGATGAGGTTTCGACCTCTGCATCCAGGTACATCGAAGCACCACCGGCCACCGGCTTCGCCATCCGTTATCTGTTCCGCCCGCCCTTCACCCCACCATCGGCGATCCAGATGGATGTGTTGCTAGACGGTGACTATGTGCAAGCTCCCTTCGTCGAGTGGGGTGGTAAGGAAAATTGCGAGGGATACCTTTGCTCGCGATCCACTTCGTCGGCTGGTGGACACAGCTTCACTCAGGGCTTCCGATTTGCTGAGCTGAGGACCGGTAAGCTCTCATGTCTAGCTAAGTGTTAAGAATCACTGACAACTCACAGACGAGACTAACACCCCAATGAGCAAGGACCTCACGGATCGTCTGTCACAGATTGGGCGCATTGTGCTTTACTTCTACTTCATCGAGCATCTGGAGGCAGTGAGACCAGTGGAAGTGCCTCGGCTTGATAGCAACGAGCTCGATGTGCTCAGTGAGAAGGTGTTGCACAAGGCGGCTGCCATGCATGGCGATCAATTGTCTCATCAGACCAGGTATACCCTTCCCAAGCAGCTTGAGGTTGAGTGATCGCTAACATTACTACCAGTCTCACTGTACCCGAGCAACGTGACACAATCACTTACAACGAAGTCAAAACGACTGAGAACGAGCCTTTCGCAACGTTCACTTTCTACTACAGATCAACTGGTATGTCACTAACACATGCGATCAAGTCAGATCAACAGCTAACAAGAACACAGATGCGCTCAAATCGATCGGTGTCATACCACGTACCCCAAGTCCATCTCCGGAGCCAGAGTCAGAGGATGACAACAGGAATTCAGACGACATGACCAACGAGGAGGTGAGGGCCGCGTATGACCGTATGCAAGTAAGTGCCAACCTATCTCGAGAGCATGCGAATCGTCGGTCTTGTACTAATCACTAAGCAGGAGAAAAACCGGGAAGCAAAGAAGATCAAGCGTGAACGTGAGGAGGAGCGAGAGGGCAGTGAGGACACACTAGTTGATGATAAAGTCGAGTGGCTCGAGAGCCGTCCCGCGAAGAGCAAGCCCGCAAAGAAGCCGCGTTGTCATCCTAGACCTGGTGATGAGGTAGTGACTTTGGATGATTGAGCGCATTCATTCTTCGAGTCGAAGAACTGGTTTATGAAGCACTTTCGGGGCGATGCGGGTGCTTCTGGCGTAGAGACTTGGGAACCATCGCTTGGTCGCTATCGTTGGGGACAATGCTGGTAGCATTATCGGACGATTTTCTATTTCGTATGCATCTATTCATGCGTAATTTCTCATCCTGCTTGCTCACTCTACCCCCGTCGTTCATTTGGGGCGCTAGGAATCTACGCCAAATCTGAGTTCACTTGAAGGGAAAGAGCCACCAACGCGACAGCCACGTTCACCTCACATATCCGAGCGCGTGATTTTCGTGACGCGTCGGAGCCGAGAGATATTGGGCCACCTTCTCTCACCTGCCAATACTCGCCTTCACCTCGGCTTCTGCGCTCCAGCACCGACATCTTCAGTCGAGGTGAAGTCTTCTTACTAGAACACACCTTCAACATACTCTACGCATCGTAGACCTATCGCGGCTTCCTCTTACCATCATTGATTCTCTCATATCTCAATACCGTCGTACCTTCCGCAATGGCAGTCGTCGATGAGGCCCCTGGGCTCGAAGTTCATGTCCAAGCGGATGGCAACCCGCTTCGCGAGTACATCGACCGCCACACCACCGTATCGGAAGCTATTTCCGAAAGCTACATCGAAGCAAAGTCAGACTCAACATTCGAAATCCACTACTCTTTCAAGGCGCCATTCCCTATCGACCGCCCGGTGTCTATGATCGTAACCATCGACGGCAAGGATGTTGACGAGCCGCTTATTCGCCCGGACGAGCTTTACGACGCAAATGGTCACGTCAGCTCTGGACCGATATCGAACAATGGTCAGGACTGGTTCATGCAGCACTATCGCTTTTCGCCGCTTGATATCAGTAAGTCATCTTCACCTCCTACAAAGTGATGATATGCTAAGAGAATCGCAGGAGAGTACAGTGAGGGGCGCATCCCAGAAGACATGCAGAGCAAACTACAGCCTATCGGCATCATAACTTGCGAGTTCTACTTCCTCGACAACGCGAGACGCAATCCGAAGATGGTCTTTGTACAGAAGGAGTTGGAGAAGCTGGATACGGTCAACGAGAAGGCTATCAAGGGCGAGTCGCTGTCGCATCAGGCAGTGTATGTATGACTCAACCAGGATATCCCTACGAGCTAATTTGTGCGCAGTCTTGGAGATACAGAGCCCACGGAAGAGATCCAGTACTACGATGCGGACTATGCTGATGGTGGAGAACCGTTTGCGACATTCCACTTCTACTATCGCTCCCTTGGTAAGCTTTGTAGATATGGGTCAACAGAAAGCAAACACTAACTATTGATGTTATAGCTGCGCTCAAAGACCTTCACATCATTGAACGTACGCCTGATCCAGTCGACGTTCTCGACAGCGATGATATGGTGCTCGGGCAGTTGAACAGGGAACAACTAGAGTCTATCGTCCGCCGCTTCAGAGTAAGATGATCCCCATTGCACACCCTACCAATGTACATGCTGACATCCACTAGGATCAAGAAGAGACCCGCGTACGCATGAAGCGCGAGCTTTCCGATACCTCTACCGTGGCAGGCGACGACCACAACGTCGATAGTCGAGTTATAGCTTGCGACGACGACTTCATAGAGATACGTTCGGTTGATCTGCGCAAGAAGAGGAAGCTTGAACGTGTCAGACAGATGCCAAGCGATGAAACTGAAGTCATTGTGTTGGACTAAGGACTGTGAAAAATATATCGACGGTCGACATGTCAATTATGTAAGGGTCATTCAAGAATCTAAATCATGTCATAACCTCAACTTCACGCACGCATATATCGACATCGACTCTTCTTTGTCAGTCACTTAGACCGGTTCTGATGGTGATTGACTGGTGTCAATGTCCACCGAGATTCAAGAACGCTGTAGCATTACACAGTATATATCCGACAAAGGAGCCACAACCAGACCTTTGGGGCCAGTAAGACTGTAGTAGAGCGCACAGCGAATGACCTGAATACATAACGTCCCCACCACGTCCGCAATACTGAAACACCTTGTATAGAACCAGGTTTAGAATAACCCCAAAATGGTGACCCCATACATCAACATACCGGCCAGCAGGTCTGCCAGCACACCCACCAACACCCAACCCAATATCCCACGTCTGGACCAACTGACGCTCCCCACAATCCAGCACGGCTACCAAAACCGCCTCTTCACAGCCGTCGACCTAACATCAGCCTGTCTAACTAGAATCCGCGAAACAAACCCAACATTCTACGCCATAGCAGAAGTAAACCCCGACGCTACATCCCTCGCCCAACACCTCGATGCCGAGCGCCTCTCAAAAGGCCCCCTCGGCCCCCTCCACGGCATACCCATCCTGCTAAAAGACAACATACCCACTCTCGACGCCACATCCACAACATGCGGCAGCATGGCTTTGATCGGCGCCAAACCCTCGCACGAAGCTGACGTCGTAAGCGCAGTGCGAAAAGCAGGAATGGTAATCCTGGGCAAAGGAAACATGGCCGAGTGGGCTGGATTCCGTTCGACGAGCGGGTGTTCAGGCTGGAGTGGAAGGGGAGGTCAGACAACGGGGATCTACTACCCTGGTATGAAAGCGAGTGGGAGTTCGGGGGGTTGTGCGGTGGCTGTTGCGCTGGGGATGTGTTTTGCGGCGTTGGGAACGGAGACTTGCTACTCGATTGTTTCTCCGGCTGAGAGATCTGGGATTGTGGGGTTCAAGCCGACGCGTGGTCTGCTCTCCTCTGAAGGTCTCATACATGCGTCTAAGAGACTGGATACGGTGGGCGTCCTTACGCGAACAGTCTCGGATGCTGCGCTCCTCCTCATCGGTCTGGTTCAGCACAGCGATCACCTCCCCGCCCAGACGAAACAAAAAATAGTCCAAGACCTCAGCACTGCAAATTCAATTCCTCACCTCTATGGCATTCGAGTCGGTATCCCTAGCTCCCTGTCCGACATGCAAAATCTACCTACTTGCAAGAAGACAGCCTTCGAAAGAACGCTCAACCTGTTAGAAAGCGCCGGCGCAACTATCGTCCACAACGTCACCGTCACCGGCGCAAAGGGCTGGGAAGCCCTGCCGCAAGAAGCAAAAGACATCGTCCTAAACACAGATATGAAAGTCGCAATAAACGACTACCTCTCCTCCCTCGCCACAAACCCGAATAACGTGCGTAACCTCGAAGACCTCATCGCGTTCACACAAGGACACCCAGCAGAGCAGTACCCGCAACGGAATGTCGAAGGTCTGGAAAGAGCGCAGGCTTCTGATCCGAGTAATCTGCTTTACGAGAACATGCTGGCGAGAGACGAGTACTACACGGGTGAAGGCGGTATCGACGCCGCGTTGTGTAGGAAGTGTTGCGATGTCATGCTCGTGCCTACGTTGAGTGTTGCCATGCAGAGCTTTGCTGCGAAAGCGGGCAGTCCAGTCATGAGTGTGCCTATGGGTGTTTTTCCGCGAGATGTGCCAGTGGAGAAGGACGCGAGGAATGGGTTGGTTAATGTGGCGCCTGGGATACCGTTTTCAGCGTATATCTTTGGGCGGGCGACGAAAGATGAGGATGTGGTTAGGGTGGGGCATGTGCTAGAGCGGTTGACGAATGTTAGGGAGACATTGGTGCCGTATGTAGATGCTGAGGCTGGGGCTGGGGCTACTGCGGCGCCCTGAGCTCTGGCTCTTTATAGGGGGATGGCACGGTAGAATGGGGACATAGAACGACACCAAGAAGAACACCAGATATGGTAGATAGGAGAATCAGTTCAGTATGAGACTCTCAGTATCCGATGCTATGCTAGTGAACATGAACCCGGGCGGTAGATGAGCCTGCTTGTAGTTCACGGTACTATTCCAGTGAAAACCTTGTATCCAGTTAACGCTCCGTATTCAGCATTCCATGCGCGCTGCCTGCTGTACGATGCCACAACGTGTCTTTGAAGTGTCCTCAGTCGAGCGAGATGACTTCGTCGGTGCTGGTGGGGAAGCAGCGTCGCTTCGCGGGTCGCTCCTCTACCATCTCCACGTCTTCGTAGTTATGGTCGTCATCGGGGTGGTCGCGCTTACGAGACTGGGTCTTCTCGTGCTTGAGCTGCGGTGTTCTGTAAGCTTGCGTCTTGACAAGATGTAATGAAGAACACTTACGTAGATCTTCTGCACCTTCTCCTCCGACAGATCTTCCTTGAAGGGCTCTGGGCTAGGTGTGCGGGGGATTATGGACAGGTACTTGAGAGCTTCCTTGGACCGGTATCGGAACTCGATCTCAGCAAGAGGGCGAGAAGGGTTGTCGACATAGTCTGCCTCCATGAATGTAACGGGTGCAATGCGGTGCAGCGGGTCGAGGCTTCCAGAACTGTTAGCGCTTCACAGAGAGGAGGTGATGCCATACATACGTTGTCTTGTGCGAGACGGACGAGCCTTTCAGTGCCTTCTCGGGGACCTCGTCGTACTCTCGCATGGACGGCACGTCCTTCCACGCGCGGGCGAAGCGTACGTTAGTGACCCGGTGAAAGGTGATTGAGATGTTGCCAGTCCATTTCAGCTGCTTCCAAAGCGCGTGGTCAATCTCGTAGTTGTCATCATCTGGATCTGTTAGCGGCATGGCACCAATGCTCACTGGCTAGACTTACGGGTGTTGAGATCAGCGAAGCGGAAGCGCTGGCCGAGGTACTTGTGACCGATGAGCGCGCTGCTGTCGTTGACCTGTCTTGTGATGCCGTATAGATCGTACTTGTGCCGCTCGAAGATGAACTTGCGCATGTCAACACCGTCGATGTTGACAATGACCTTGATGGAGTGGCGGTCGAAGACGTAGCCGGGGATGAAGAATCGGACGCCAAACTGCTCGCCCGCTTCGGCCTCGATGTAGACTACCTTGGACTCGGCATTAGTATCTTCACGGTCAGCATGTTCTTTGACGGGGCGACCGTCCACGAGGACGGCCGCCTCGAGTTTGGGGAAGAGGGGATGGGGGGCCATGACGAGAGGTTCGGCTGTGGTGAAGAAGAGTCAGAAGAAAAACTCTACCTAAGTCGCGCTCTGCGTCCAAACAAACGGTGTTGCTGGGGAAGGAGCAGTGAGTACGTAAGCAGCCACGTGCTTCATGCCCAAGAGGAAGGCACGACGCGACACTGGCCTCACCGTCTTCACCGCTCACTTCATCTATCTGTTTGACCTTTCATCCGGTTAACGTGTAGCTTACAAGCGCCGCTCCTCTTTCACTAAACGTCACACCAAAGTCCACTCTGAAGGTATACAGTGCCTTTCCATCTCTTACAGAAACATTTGTAGCGCAGCGTATACCTCCAGGGTACACTTTTGATATGCATAAACCAAATCGTATAGGCGTCTGTGTATGACCAGGGTATATTATGATATACGAAACCCACAGTGTATAAGCGTATGTATATCTGAACAGCCATCCTGGCAGCAGACTGCGCGAGACGCTGACGTCATGTAGCCGCCTGTCCCATCCTAGATGCTGTTGTCCGCTACAAAAGAATGTTCCCAGGCGGTAGCCCAAACTCCAATGATGCAACGCTTGAGTGAGAATGAATAGTAAAAGAATGTGTCATGAAGCTTCGTAATCATATCGTAAGTGTCGAACGGGTAACAGGATGTTAGCTGCTTTCCTCCATCTTTTCCTCCGGTACTGGTTCATTCAATCGTGCTTGCCGTGACTTTCTTCGTAAGAATGCTTGCAGAGAGAACATTACCAGCAATATCAGCGCGTTGACGGTCATTACGATCTGCAACCACTTGACGGTAACCTGTGATGACGTTAGTGAGTTGTGTCGCAACGTACTTGTTTGTAACTGACCGCCTCGGCACATGCTACGCTGGCATTTTCACGGTCTCCCCTCGGGATAAAGCCCGGTTGGTAGTTGCATGTTGCCATCTCGCGCGTACAGTACACGTTGGTGTTCATTTGACCACTCATCATGAGCCTTTCGGAAGTGCAGCCCCACTTATCGTCGCCTCGCTCGGTGTAGTGAAGCACGACAGCTGCGATAGCCGTGGCGGAACCAGCAATAGTGGTGACGACAATGCTGAGCATCCAGAAGCGACGTGTGCTCTACTGGACATTAATGTGAGTTCTTCGGGTTGAGATCGTTGTTACATACGCTATTGAATTGCGAGTCCATGTCTGGTTTGCGCAGAGTACTCCAGGCAATAAGAGCCACCACGGCTGCCGTCAGGTTCAAGCATCCGGATACAATAGTGGCATCTGTCGGCGACTCTCTGAAATAGACAATCGTGTCATCGACGACATATTGTTGCAGCCGGTCATTGAACTCGCTTGTTACTACTTTGAGACCTCGAGGAATAACCCAGTCTGTAAGGATCCAGTAATGCGTTGTCAACGCCACCGAGACTACCGAGAGAAGGAGGAAGACGATCGACGGAACGAGGGCGAATTTGAGGATATTGTCATATCGTAGCATGTTGTCGTTTGGGAGTCGGTCCTACACCGGGGAAGGACGCTGAAAGTGATCGCCGGATTCCAGAAAGCGGAATGGCAGCCCGTAAAGACATGGGCATGGCCCTACCTAAAATAAGGCGCGACGCTCGTCCGTTCCCTGCTGCGCCGTTCCAACTACCAGCGCGGATGTCTAAAAGCTTGTCCGGGGCTCGGCGCTCATCATGACCCGCCTTTGGCACCGCCATGTCAGACAGTATTAGGCTGCGCTATGCGTGATCGACGTGACAATAGCAATACTTAGAACGACTGGATATTATGAGAACATTCCTGTCGCACGATTGTCTTTCAGAGGCCCTCGCCGCCTGCGCCGTGAAGAGTGCCTGATGTATCTGCCGTGTCTGTATAGCGTCCCAGCCACTCGCGCCACGGGACTCACCGCATAATCGGCAGTGACTCCGAAACCTCTGACAACTGAAAAGACGCGCTCCATGTCCGCGCCGCTGGTCGCCTGGCTGGGCGTAAAGAAGATTCAACTATGATTGGCAATGTTCCCATGGACGCAGCTCTAGTTGAAGTTGAACAACGTCATCATAGCCCCGTGAGGGAGCGAGCCGAGTTCCGTGGATGGTATTGCCAAGACTCACGTACTTGCTGATTTGCCGGCCTATCCGACACCATGGCCCATTGCGCACATACATCACCACTTTTGGCTCAACGTTAAATGCAGGTACGCAGCGGGGAAACTGGGGTTGGGTGGTTGGCACGACCAGCCTCGAGATGTTTGTATCGTTGATGACGCAGTGAGTGCACGTGCTTCATGGTCTAGGCGGCGCTACATCCGCGAGCCAACTCCATCTTTTGCACTTGCATCGTAATATCATTTCCATACAATGCGTGTTGAGTGACAGGTGTCTCACACTACCGTGAACATGACATTGATCGCATCTATTGAGTACCTCTTGCATCCCGAGGTCGGTATCGTCGACCCACGGCTCCTGGAATCCACTTGCCCCGGATAATCAATCTCGCCGGACTTGACACATAACACAGCCACCCCTTACCACTCGAGCTTTCCTCCGCTAGCTAGATTATGACCAAGCAACCACAAACTTTGGGTCTAGGCTCCTTGACGAACCGGTTACTTCCACTCTCGAATCTGCTCTTTGATCTCAACCCTACGTGCGTTCTTGAGAACGATGTCAATTCGCACTTGATTCGACCTCCTGAATAGTGACACACGGCATCTCCCTCGAAAAGTGACAACGTATTCCTCGGAGTAAGATCTGCGAACTCTTTTCATATTGCGGGTCAACAAGCACACGCACATGCCGTAGCGATTGGAGCAACTCCCAATCAGCCTTATCTATGTGCTCTATGAGACTGAGCAAACAACCTGGCATGGCCAACAGCGAGGTCATGAGCTTGAGGTTGTGAGCTCCCACAATCTTCACAAGCCTATCCCAGAACCAACAAGAGGTGATATCGAAGGTGCAGGTACTAATGAATACAGAAAAGGCTTCGTACTTGATCTGACGTGACACGTAGAGTAGAGCTGCAGATTTAGGTGGGGGTCGCCGAGGAGTGCCACTGGGTTCGTATAGCGAGATGTGGACGGTGGAGTCGGTGAATGTGTACTCGTAAATCTTGACTCGAAGCTCGACTGGAAGTTTCAAGAGCGGGGACACTAACTGGTTGCGTCTAGCACTTATTTGGTGTTAGCAGCTGGACAGGTATATCTTCGGGATATCTTACATGATGTTGCAATCTTCGCCATAACGCAGAAGCGGGACAGACGGGGTACGATGGCCCGGGAACGACATGATATCAGGCCGGTATGACTGGGTTCCTGTTATATAATTGTGGTTCTTGAGTAGAGCTGTCGTGTGGTGGAGGAAGCAAAGATTGCTCGCAGAGTAGTCACGTCAAGACATTGATAGCCACAGCTGACCCGCCTCACAATGCCATTTCACGCCAATTGCGAACATGAATTTAGCCTTCACTTTGGCCTTCACCTGCGCGTGGAACAAACGCTTAACAGCGCAACGTCGCAGAAGGTTTCCAGCCACACAATGCTGACCAACGCGAAAGTCACAAAGGAGGCACAAAGACATTTCAACAGTGGAGAGAAAATAAATCTCCAATTCAAAAGGATATACACGAAGTAATAGAAGATATTTACAAGAACAGATGAATCCACACTCCCCTAAGCAACAGCTGACTCTATCAGACTCGCTTAGATCTTTCCGTAACCAGCAGATTGCTGGACGTTCTTAGCGCTGGCAGCAGTGCCGGCAGCGGCAATGTTCTTGCCCTTCATGCCAGCAAGGATGCTGGTGTCAGAGCCAGCAAGAGTACCAGAGCTGCCGTAGACGTTGGGCTCGCAGTTGCGACCCATGGCAGACTTGCAGGCAGCGCCGTTGTTGCCGACAGCGAAGACCTTGCCGGGAAGACCAGACTGAGCAGGCTCCTTGACGTTCTGGAAGACGTTGCCCTCAGCGATGATCTTGGCGCCAGAGTCGGCCTCGAAAGCGTGCTGGGAGTTGGCGTAGAAGTAGTTGTTGACGGCGTGGAGGAGGGTGTTACCAGCAACCTTGGGCGAGCGGCCGGAGGTGTGGTGGATGTAGTTGCCCTTGAGGGTGACCATGTCGTTGGCACCGGTGAAGTACATGCCCCAGTAGTGGTGGCTGTCGCAGGTGGCAGACCAGGCGGTGGCACCGTTGATCTCGTTGTTGGTGATGGAGACCTTGCCGGAAGCAGTGTTACCGAGGACAATGTGCTGACGGGCGATCAAGTCGGTGGTGACGTGGTCAATCCAGATCATGTCGGCGCCGTCGACGGTGATGGCATCACCACCCCAGACGTATTGAGGGTTGATCTCAGTAATGCGGATGTTCTGGATGATGATGTTCTTGACGCCGCCAGTCATGCGGAGACCCTTGCCCTTCATAACACCCTTGGTGCCTTGGCCGATGATAGACTTGTTGCTCTTGACGGTGATTCCTAGTACACCAGCCTTGTCGTAGGTGATGCTGCCAACCTTGGGAGCGCTGGCCTGGTAGTTGTCGCACCATCCGTTCTGGTTGATGGCGATCTGGCAGCCGGAGCCGGTACCCCATGGGCGGCAACCGGAGGAGGTAGCCTTGCCCTCGGTGCCAGTGAAGTCGAAGGTCTTGGTGAGGACGATGGTGCGAGGGGTGTCGTCGCCGAGGTAGCTGATGAGCTGAGCGGTGCTGGTCGGGTAGACAGGTGCGGCGTTGCCACCACCAGTTACACCTGGAATGTGTTAGCATAGAGCGGTGATGAAAATGGCACCAAATGCTTACCCTTTGCGAAACCCTCAGCAGCGCCCTTGACGGCATCAGCAGCGTTGACGCTGGAAGCGAAAGCCGCGACAACGGCGGCGAAGAGTTGGTACTTCATAGTGGAAAGTTATCGAGTCGAAGATAAAGAATGGATAGCAAACACAGTTTGCTGAAAAGAATGACAGGTGATGAATGAGAGAATGAGAGAATGATGCTAAGAACTGGATGATATGATATCCGGTGGCTGACCCGTTCCTTTATATCTCGTAGGATTCTTGGCTGGTGTTTGAAGCACGCCCCACTCACTCTACCTACGGGGGTATGTTCCTTTCGAGCATGCACCTGAACCCTTGACGCCGTTCATCACCGACGGCAGTGGGTATCGGACAATTCGAATCGCTACTAGAAGCCAGGACGCGCATACCAGTGCCTGGAGCGGGCGGAAAGATACTTCCACCACCAAAGAGTCATGAACATGTCGACAGTGCGTAGTTTGGTGCTCATGCATCCATGGATAGGTTGCTTGACGGGCGTTTACAAACAGAATGGCGTTGCGGAAGTAGCTTCGCAACGAGTCTAGTCCCGGCAGTCCCGCTGTTGTCGTTTCATGAACATAACAGGGCAGCCACTAGCTCCACAAAACCGTGCCCGGGCCAGACTCGACGGAAACATATTGATTAAGCTTATCCGACATAAGATGACAGGACTGCCCCTTGCGGGAGGGTAGAAGACCTGGTCTGTGGCTCATGAGGCTGAGCTTTGCGAAATCCCAGGGTTCTGTAGGAGTGATTGTTCCGATAGGTGGAATCTGCAACAGCAACCAGGTTTGTCCGAGAGCGCAAGGCGGAGGAGAGATGAAATGTGATGAACAAGAGGAGAAGACAAGACTAATCAAGCATTGCCTGAATCGTTCTTCATCATTGCGAATGTCGTTGGTTGCAGTGGTGACGCGATCAGTTAGCGCTGTCAGCTGTCACGGTTAGCAAGCGCGCCATCCACCAAAGATTCCCGGGTTGGTGGACGCGCAACTTTCCATCTTTAAGTTTACTTCCCGGCTATAGAACGGGTGGTGGGAGACAACATCGCACGGACGGGTTGTGATGGTGATGGTGTTGAAGCATCGAAGATGGCGGACTGGTGAGGCTTGGTCCGATGCGACACTAGCGCGTTTTACTTGCGGTTAGACGCCCACCACGTGGTTCTGCATGACGCCTTTCCCTACTCTCCAGTAGCTAGCCACGACAACGAAATGAAGCGACTCGCAGCCTGAACCTCTCCTCTGCGAGACTGCATAACCCAATTACGCAGCTCAACGTCGACTAATCACTAGATCGTGGTGCTTCCACGCGTTTCCCAACAGCATGTGGGACCAACCACACAAGAGCAGCCGAAGCCGTCAGAAGCAGAGCAGCTCACACCGTGCAGCACCGAGATATAGTAGCCAAGTCCCGCGTAGTTACCGGGATACCCAGCATTCAGAAAACTACGTCTCGTCGCCCACGGATTCGAGCTCGGACTACGACACCCCACGCCGTGGATACTACGAAGATTTACCCCCCAATCATAGGCGACATGTGAATCGGGCTATGGCATCCGAATACGCTACGCAGACAAGAGAACCACGGGATGTGTACGGTTCCTCACAGCCTCGCCCAAGGCATCAACCACGGCCATCTGGACGGCCACAGTATCGGGCTCAGTCTTCAGATCCAGACTGCATCGCACAAGACTCTCAGTCTGACGAAGATTACATAGCTACGCCTGAAGTAAAGAAAGATGCGTGGAAAAATCGTGGGTCTCGCTACTCTCTGGATGATCGTTCCACGGACGATTCCCTGGGCAATGGCTCACCAATCCGCCACCCTCCTCCTGAGAACTACAGTGATAGTCCCCCCTCAGACTACGCTCCTCATCCCAAAGCCAAGTCCGAAGATCGGAGGGGAAAAGCAGGCTGGGGCAATAGTGATTCCTTCAGCCAACCGCCCCGCCTAAACCCTAGGGAACACGAGAACTACCGCGAAGCAAAGCAATTTCTCGACCGCTTCCAACAGCTCCACACTCATACAACGGATCGGTCCGACACCGAATCCTACAGCGATGGCAGCCCGGCGAATCGCAACCCAGTCAATCGCCAAGCTAGATTTTCCGGGCGATACCCAGACCCTGAGCGAGATGATGAAGATGACTACGCGCCAAGTCCACACAATTACCGAGAAAGACACCATAGCGAACGTACTCGTTGGAGGGATGAAGAAGAATCTTACCACCGATTTGAGGTGGAAAACCGCCGCAACCATCGTGAGCCTCGTACAAGGAATCTAGATCCCCGATCTGTCCGGCCCAGTCTACACCGCCCGGACAGCTCCTTCCATCAGGCCAGCAGCTTCTCTGCTCCGCCTCCTCCTCCAAGACATGTAGACCACTCCCGCCACCGACGCGGTTCAACATACTCAGACGATGACGACCATGCCACTTACTCCGACCACAGACCCGGCGCCCGCACAGCCGCATTGTCAGACATAGCATCTCGACCCAGCTCCTCCCACTCCGACCGCCTCTCCCGCGTCCCCACAGCCGTAGACTCAGAAGACTACCATTCCCCACCCCCTGCAGTACCTTCGCCACCGCCTCTATTCCGACGGCATCGGGACAGCGGCAGTGACTACGCCCCCATGCCCGGCGCCTTCCGCAGCGTGAGCAGAAGTCGAAGTCGAAGTCCCTATGAGCCAGTAAGGGGCGGAAGAAACCGGAGTCCTTACATGTCATCCCCTGTTCGCAGTACACCTGTTAGAAAAGGGAGGGGGATTGGGAGGTATAGGAGTGACAGTGATGATAATGGTGTAGCGGAGGGGAGCGACTACCTTCCTAGTGATAGCGAGGATGATGAGCGGATTAGTGGGGGTGGTAATGGCGTGGCGGAGGGGAGTGACTATGCTTCTAGCGATGATGGGCGGAGTGATGTTTGTGAGAAGGATACTTGGGGTGCTAGGGTTGCTCGTGTTGAGAGAGGAGGTGCTGGTGGGAGGGCGCATGGGAAGATGTGGTAATGATGATGGGAAGGATGCGCTCGAGGATGATGAGATGACAGATTACGCTTGACGAAACGATGTAAATGTGTAACGACTTGGTAATATGACGGTCCTTTCCTATTCCTTTCCTAGGTGTGGTGGAACGACACCACGACCATTGCAGTAACATCTCGTTCATCAATACGGATTCACGTCGTATACACAATCGTACAATTGCCTTGCTCCGCCTAATGCATGCTGGTAGCCAGATAATCCAAGGTACCTCACTCTTTCATATGATACAATGCCTCATCCTTCCTCTCGTTCATGTGTCTTTAAGCAGTCACTGTCGTCGCCTCCGTAGCATCCGGTACGCCCGCTTCAGCCAAGATTTGCTCTGGCTTCAATTCAGCCGTCGACATGGGTCCCTTGGGCCATGGCTTCCCCCTCGCATCCTGAACACGGATAATCTGGTTCTTTGGTCCAGGAACACAGCCTACACACACGACGTTAGCACCCACCAATGTAATCGTACTATGCATCCCATACCTTGAACAACCACAATACCATTTGGCTCGTCAACCTGCAACACCCTCAAGTTCTTGACCGTCACACTCTCGTTTCCCATGTTACCCGCCATACGCTTTCCAGGCAACACACGAGAACCCGAACCTTGGGAACCTCCGGCAGAACCCATACCACGATGCATGAGCGATTGACCGTGAGAAGCTGGTTGACCACCGAAGCCGTGTCGTTTCATGCCCTGCACAAATCACCCGTTAGCATTCCATCCCAACTGACATCACCTATCCTCATGAACAGATAGAGATCCAGAACTTACACCAGCGAATCCCATGCCCCTACTTATCGCCTTAACATCCACCCATTGTCCCTTTGTAAACCACCCCGCACCCACCATCTCCCCTACACTCACGCCCAAGCCCTCCTCATCTCTCACCTTGAACTCAACAACCCACCTCTTAGGACTCACGCCCGCACCCGCAAAATGCCCCAACATAGGCCTTGTCACATTCCGCGCTTCTTTCTGCCCAGCCCCGATCTGAACAGCCCAGTACCCGTTTACATCTCTCCGCTTATGCGCCACGACTTCATTGCGGTCGAGTTGCAAAACTGTGCATGCTGTGCGCTTTCCTGTTTCGGGCTCGTAGATAGATGTCATGCCCTTTTTCAAAGCGAGAAGACCGGTTCGCAAGGGCGTGCTGTGGGCTTTTCGCTCGAGCGCTGCCGTCGATGTGCTGGTGAGGGCTTCTCGCGCGGGGTGATGTGCGAAACGGTCGGGTTTGGGACCGAAGGTAGACTTTATGGTTCGGATCGATGTGTATGCGATGGCGGGTCTTGAGGAGATTTGTTGCGCATTTTGCTGGAGGAGGCAGCGCGCTGATGAGGGGAGGAGGAAGGACGGCGGTAGTAAGCCCCAATTGAGCGGCGCTTTTGGCGGCATTATGGGCGTGGTGTTGTTGCGTTGGAGATGCGGCGCTGGCTTGTTCGCCGCGGATATTTTGAGATTCCCGGTCTGAAGCTCAGATTCGGTGCACGGGCCATGCGGCGCACGTGTAGTCCTGTTCACGGTCAGAACATGAGCTAGGCTCAATGCACTCTAGTAGGTCATGGCGGGGTAATCGCAAATTTGGAACATGCATGTCTACCCGCGAGCAGGCAAATTCAGCACATCTCTTCAACGAAACGCAGTTATGGATGGAAGCGACCGCGTGTAGGAGATGTTATGTTTTTGAGCTTTTAGAGCCATGTCCAGCAGGCGCAAGGTACCAAGATACAAGGAGACTATACAAGTCAGATACCACCCGTGCTCAACGTACCACTATATACTGGTTCCTCTCTCCTCTCCATAAATAGCAAGAAATTTTAGCAATGGGTATCCTCCAGTTGTAGAAACACCGAAACTCCTGCACCACACAGTGGCGCTTAATATGACATACATGACCCATATCAAATAGGTTAACTCAACCCCTCATCTCCTCAGCGCAACAAAACGTCCTGAAAGACAGTAGAGGCGCAAGATATTGTCACACTGAACAGCTTAGAGTATATTGGTGGCGGGGTTCCCTTGCATGATGGAATTGGCGAGGAC